AGAAGAAGAAGAAGAAGAAGAAGAAGAAGAAGAAGAAGAAGAAGAAGAAGAAAGCATCTGTTCAAATCAGTTCTGAGATAAGGTTACTTATGGTAGTGTTACAAGTACATTTCCAACCTTGTTTGATTCTTTCCTAGAAAATAAAATATCAGAATGCCTATACAGCATTATGCCATTCATACTTAGCCAGCTGATTTGTACACCTATATTATTTTAATGGTATACTACAAGACATCAACAACATACATGTATAGTTGCAGAGAACCTTTTAAAGAAACAATCACACATTATTCATTCCAAAAATGGATGAATGGACGGACGGATACACACACACACACCACTGGGAGACTGAAATAGCAATATACCAGGGGAGTTTTCATAGATTAATCTTAACTTAGTTCCTGATATAAGCAAAAACAACAACAACAACAACCACCTTGCATTGACAAGAAAATGTGTAAAATAAAGAAAATGTAAGCCACCCGGAGTTGGGCCATCTCAAAATTGTCTAAATAAATAAATATTCTGCATGCAATGGACTGTTCTTTTCCATTTCATTTTAAGTCAAAGATTAAGCCATGTCATCTATCCTGAGCTCAGACAGCCTTACATTGCTCAGGATGTTTCGATGCAAGGAGGCCCCATGGATGTTTGAGCTCTCAGTGTTCCACAGGCGGATGGTGTTATCTGAGGAGCAAGTGATGAAGGTGTTTGGGGGCAAGCAAGACTGATTGCTATCCTTTACCTCAGGGTACACCTAGGGGGAAAGAAATTGTAACAGAATTAGAAACATTCTCTATAGTCTCCAAAACTGAGTGGTGGTTTTAACTGTCAAAGGAGGACTGAACCCAAGAGAAAAAACAGACCTTCTTACTACCTGTTCACAGGTATGAGAGAGAGGTAAACCTCCTCACTCTTTCAATTTCCATGAAAATATTCTGCTTCGTTAATCTTTTAAGATGGTTTTACCAAGACTGTTTATAGCATCAGATTCAAGCTTCACAGAATGATGTGATTGGGATACTGTGGCAATTGGACCTTTCTATAGGAATTTGTCAATATAAGGATCCCAAAGATTCTGTTCTGATGCAAATGGAACCACTACATACTTTCATTATCCTTTGAGCATTCTTACACATCTAGGCCAGCAGGGAGCAGCACTTGGCTACTGCCATAATTGTGACAACTAGAAGGAAGGTGCAAATTGAACCTTTATTCTAGTTCCAAAGAGGATTAATCAAGACAATATGGAAAGATATTCAGTGTATGCATGCAGTAAATTACCTTAATTTTAACTGGATTTTGGAAGAACACTCAGCAAATGACTAACACCAAGAACTGGGACAATAACCCAAGGCTTGAATATATTTTTGTAATGGAAAATCAACAATATGTGTCTATTCAGCAGCCACACAGACCATTACTGGAGACAAGCAGTCAGAGAAATCTCAATTTTTTATTACCCAGATCTAGGTTTTCATTTAAAACAGTTGCTTTATATTATTGTCTGAAGGCTGATCTACATTCTAGCATATACACAAGTTCAGTTATGTGGCTAAAGAAATATAGATTTTTTGACTTTTCTTTTCCCTTCCATTAATTCTAAATGGTTAATCATTAGTGTGCATGAAAAATATAACCTAAATAATACCTAAAAACCAAAAAATGCAGAGTTATAAGAAAAAAAGAAAAACCACACTGGAATTCTTGCCATAATAGGAAAGTGCCTTCTTAATTCTGAAACACATTAATTTTGTAGGAAATCAGAAATGATACTATTGGTGACCCTCATTGCATCTGTATCAATATTTGTGACTTAACATTACCTCAATGTTCCAGACACAGGAGGAGTGGTATAACGCAGAATAAACCTTGCCCACTTTCTTGGGGTCTTTGACATCCCACACATACAAGCTGTGATCATTGTAAACACAAGACAGCCACTGGTTATTCGGATCAAAGGTTAAGGCAATGGTGTCTGGATACTTGGCATCGGTCACATTAGAGAAAAGCCGACTGCAAAAAAATAATACAATTGATAATTTTAAATAGTCAATATATAAAGGTACAAAAGACAGCAGGTTTGCTAAAAGGAGACAAATACAGAAATTGGCCTGTTCTACTAGTATTTTTTACGGTTACATATTTGCATGCTGTTAGTCATTTCTAGTATTCCAAATGCTGCACATACATCATGCCATTGTAATTGTGTAACAATCCTGTAACTTCAGTCAGCATTGTTATCCTCGGATTTCAAATGTACTGTGAGTGTGTGGTGGCTTATGGCCATATGAATGCATGACTTAGCTGGCCCTAAAACCAGCAGATCTAATCTCTTTCCTTCAGTCAGACAAGAATAGCTTAAATTGTAATCAGATCTCAGACGGAACAGATTTGATTTCGAACGGCATTATCCTATCCTATTGCAATAATATTGGGGCTTTATTCCTTATTACTGTTGAGTTTCAGACCAGATGTAACACTGAGATGGCACTGATTGCACTTATAGATGACCTTCGGAAGGGTCAGGAGAGGAATGGTCATCCATACTAGTCCTCTCAGCAGCTTTTAGGACCATCAATCATAGTATCCATAGATCCCAAAACTGGGACCAGTTTTGGAAGGAGAGTGAGGAACAGTGTTGCAGTGTTTCTCCTCCTTCCTCTGAGGTGGGTTCTGGTTGATGTTCGCAGGGGAGAGAGATTTGTATCTGGAACCCTGTTCTGCAAAGTTCCTCAGAGCTCTACTTTACCTTCCTGTTTAATACCTATATTAAGCAGTTGGGTGAGGTATTCTATCAATGAGGGATTAAGTATTGTAAGTATACCAATAATAACCAATTATGCAAACACAGGCAGCCACACACATAGACCAACCCACATACACCAGCCTGACTTCACTTCAAGTTTCTTTCTCATTGTCTAGAGCAGTGATGGCGAACCTATGACACGCGTGTCAGTGCTGACACGCGTAGCCATTTGGGGTGACACGCACAGGATTTCATGCGATTCATCCTCGGTTCCTGAATCTGTGCTGGAGGAACGGGGGGGCGGGACGTGTGATCTCCCCCGCCCACACTCACTCACTTACTGTATCGCCGCCGCCCCT